TCGCCGTTCGACGCGTTATAGAGCGCCAACGACTGCAGTGGCCAAATTAGCACCCATGGTCATGACACAACCGCGATTTGAAACGGGGCCCCCACATGGGAGCCGAAGGCAGTTCCCATCCGGCAGTTTTACGCCCTGGTATCAGTGCATGCATTATCTACAGCGAAATTGTATCGCATTACATACCAAAGCCTTCTATACATTCTCTCTTGATATAAAATAGCACAATTTGGTTGTAATAACTGTTTCTTGCTTTCTCCGTTTCTGCTTCGCTTTCATTTTTTTTTTTTTGCGTCGTGGTCATTGAAAGCCCCATCGCACATCATTCGACAGCTAAATTTGCATGATCCGTACGTGTAGCGTGCGTGTAATGACGCGCGTTACACAGACTGGTGCAACGTCCGCAAACGGACAGTGCATCACGACTGCATCCTTCATTGTATCGTATTGGTTTGAAGGTGCTATAGTTGGTTTAAAGGTGCGGCCAGTCACCGATTAGACAAAATTGGACAGTCAAAGCAACGCACACAATTATATTGCTCAAAACCTGGTTGTTGTCATGTGAAGTGGGCGACTCAAACTTTCATCTTTAGTTGCCTTGACCGCGTTTTGGCACATCAGCAACTCCGGGTTTAAGAATGAAAACACATTGTCGCTTCTTACATGTCTATGACCCAAAGTTGCCACCATGTATCACCAGAACATTTTAGGAGACAAATACCAGCCAGCAAGGCCACGCTTTCAAAAAATAACAGAGTATAAGTCATTTGTCTCAGAACTTTGGCATCACCAAACTGGACCCACTTGTAGTCATAATCCACCATAGCCGCCCTCCTTCGACCATGAATCAATGATATAAAACCTGATCTGCCGCTAAGAGACATTTTCGGATAATGTTCATTATAATATGATCCATTGGCTTCGTCGGGTGACATTGCCAACCGTGCATATTCACCATGGTCTGTCCAGATTGATGTCTGGTTCTTCTCCGGGACATGGATTACCACACCACCGGTTGCAGCAACGCCGACAAATGACAAAGCAATGGCGACAAGGAGAAGGGCGCAGTAAATCCAAAGTGTCTGTTTATGCACATCTTGGGCTCCTCCAAATCCCACAATGCAAGACGTCATGCCAAGGTAGCATGCGAAATAGAAGAACCGGCTTGGGTCAAAATAGGGTTTTGTAGTTACACCAACGTAAGTCAAAATGGCACAGGCGATCAAAAAACAAACCCAGGCTATTGCAACCGAAACCATGACCAAGTATCTGACAATTCTTGTGAGTGAAGATAATTCAACATATTCTTCGTCGTCCGACAAATCTTCAAGGGTATCGGATGATCGTTTCTTAGATTTGTGTTGCCCTTCACGACTTTGGGTAGATGCGGTCGGTGACAGGTTTTCATCGTCTTCGAGGGCCATGCGTAGAATGTGAGCTCGGGTGCATGCAGAGCATGCTTACATTTATATAATGGTGGTATTTTAACGGGGTTTTCTGTGTCAGATACAATGCCTCCATTTTGTCATACTTCAAACTCACAGCAACTGATTTAGAAACACAAGCGCAGAGACTGCCGCAATGCTATGCATCACAGAATTAGCTCTGCACGTGACATTTATGAATGGATATTAACGTGAAAATACGCCTAAATCACCGAAACACTGTTTACGCAATGCCGAACGAGCTATTTTGTTCAATAAGCCGACGCTCATATTAAAAACCTTGTGAGCAGGTTCGCTTCCTGTGTAACCGTTTCCCATGTGGGTTAAAGTGCACGATGTGCTGGTTGCAACCCGTAATCTCTTTTTGCCACGTGAAGAGTGATGTGACGCATGCGTGTTCTTCCATGGTGATGTGAACCAATTGGTAACCTATATATCATACATCTGCCACGCCTGGGGCCAGTTTAGGAGATAGAGAATGAACGTCTCGCTTCTCACCTTGAGACTGGACAAGGCAGCGAAGGTGGATAGGGAATGTGAGGAGCTGTGTTTCATCAGCATAGGACACGGCCGTGGGTGAGTAAGGACAGGATGACAGGACAGGACAGATTGATAAAGAATGACCCGGCGATGGATTCTGGGCTACTTCGTGGGTCAGGGGGAGATGAGTAGAGGACGTCTCCTTCCATTCGCGCAGGCAGCTCCGAAGGGAATGCGTCTGAAAAGACTTTTACGACTCTAAAAGGTTTTATGAAATCCAAAAGCTATAAAATGCTATGCGAACGACATGGAATTGGCTTGTCAGATACCCAGCCAAATGAGACTTTTATTGCACGAAACTGCCATGAAACCGGTGGGCCCGAAACAAAGCCGAAGTAGCCGCATGAGGTGCCCCGGCAACAACCTAGCAGAGGCGAGTAGGGTTGGTGGTACCATCGGATCGCCCTTGCTCACACCCACCCACCTACCTCCCAACCTGAGGACGGGCTATGTTCAAAAAAATTTGTAGAACATTCCCAGCCTTTTATTCTCGTTCCGTCTTGTCTCGAGGGTTA